AAAGGAAGGATATAATAAAGATTAGAGCAGAACTAAATGACATAGAGACTAAAACACAATACAAAACAAATCTATGAAACAAGAACTGGTTCTTTGAAAGGATAAGATGGACCTTTAGCCAGACTCATCAAGAGCCTTAGATGTTTTGGCTCAGTGGATAGAGCATCAGCCTACAGACTGAAGGGACCCGGGTTCGATTCTGGTCAAGGGCACATTCCTGGTTGCGGGCTTGGTCCCCAGTAGGGGGTGTGCGGGAGGCAGCCAATCAATGATTCTCTCATCACTGATGTCTCTCTCTTCCTTTCCCTTCCTCACTGAAATAAATAAAAATAAAAAATAAAAGCTGTAGCACATTTATACTATGGAATGCTATGCAGCAGTAAAAAAGAATCTCTTACCCTTTGAGAGAGCATGAAGGGACCTGGAGGGTACCATGCTAAGTGAAATGAGTCAGAGTATCACATGATCTCACTCATATGTGGAATCTAATCTATACTAATAAAAGCCTAAGTGCCCCTCATGCCATGCCCCCACATCACACAAGATGGCTGCCACAAGATGGCCAGCAGGAGAGGGCAGTTGGGGTGATTGGGCCAGCAGGGGAGAGATTAGGGGGCAATCAGGCTGGCAGGCAGGCAAGTGGTTAGGAGCCAGCAGTCCCAGATTTGAGAGGGATGTCCCCCTGAGGGGTCCCAGTTTGGAGAAAGTACAGGCTAGGCGGAGGGACTCCCCTCCCATGCACGATTTTCATGCACCGGGTCTCTAGTTAACAAAATGAATTGATGAACTGAGTAGATCCAGAGAGATGGAAGCCAGGGGAGGGAGGAGGTAATCAACCAAAGACCTTGTATGCATATATGCATAACAAATGAACACAGACAATAGGGTGCTGAAGGCCTGGGGCGGGGGCAGGCTGGAGGGGGTCAATGGGGGGAAAAGGGGGACATATGTAATACTTGTAACAATAAAGAATTATTTAAAAAAAAAAAAAGGCCTATCCCTGGCCAGGTGGTTCCTTTGGTTGTAGCATTGTCCCATACACCAAAAGGTTTCAGGTTCCATTCCCAGCAGTGCACATACCTAGGTTGTGGGTTTTATAGAGAAGTTGGTGGAGGCACAAATTTGAAAGCAGGAATAGCAGAAACTGTCTTATTATCCTTTGCAGAAAACGATGGTCCAAGTGAAACAGGATTTGGGGAATATAGAGGTGGGGACTGTGGAAAGGTGACATAAGCCCTGGGCAACAGCAGGACTAGGAACCATAAGGGAGAATGCCTTTCTTCAAAGTTTATAAAGTCTAAACAGAAAAGAGCACAAGCCAACATAGAGCTAATTGTTGAGTGTTTAATTCTGAATAATGGATATACGGTGATTGCATTTTCTTAGTACTTTACTGTGTTTTGAAAAAAAATTGACAAAATAAAGGGCAATGTGATTTTTCCCTTGTTCTGTCTTTCCAGAAATGCCTTGCCTTGCGGAATATGATGATGGCTTATGGTATAGAGCAAAGATTGTTTCCATTAAAGAATTTAATCCTCTAGCCATCCTGGTTCAATTTGTGGATTACGGATCAACTGAAAAGCTGACGATAAACAGGTTTTTAAAAGTCAACTTATTTGAATTAGGATTCTTAGTTTCCTTTTTTTTTCTTTGTTTTATTATTTTTGTTTTGTTTTAAATAATTATTGGGAAGATTTTGCCTCTTAAAGAAAATACCTTAAAGCTGTTCAGATACTGGGATTTTTTTTAATGTAAGTTTTTTTTTTGTTGTGGTAAAATAAACTTAATCATTTTAGCCATTTTAAAGTATACAATTAATTGTCATTAAGTACATTCACAGTGTTGTGCCACCATTACCACCATCCACTTCTCAGGACTTTTTCATAAATCCCAAACAAAATCTGTAGCCATTAAACAGTAACATTCCATTCCCATTCCCACAGCTCCTGGTATCGTATATTCTACCTCATACAAGTCTAATCATACGATATTTGTTTTTTAGTATCTTAGTTTACTTAGAGTAATGTTTTCAGAGTTCATCCAATTATTGCATGTATCAGAATTTCATTATTTTTGTGGATAACATACCATTGTATGTATATACCACATTTTGTTCATTTCATCTGTTGGATACTTGGTTGTTTTCATCTATTGGCTGTTGTGAATAATGCTGCACTGAACATTACAAGTAGCTGTTGGAGTTCCTGTTTTCAGTTATATAAATTGCTGGGTCATACAGTAATTCTGTTAGACTTTTTGATAAAATGATACAGCTGCCAAACTTCCATAACTGCTGTATCATTTTACATTCCCACTAGAAATGTATAAGGGTTCCAATTTCTCCACATCCTAGCCATTCCCTATTTTCTGGGGGGGGAGGGGGGGTGTTGTTGTTTGTAATATCTTTTTTTTTTTAATATATTTTATTGAGTTTTTACAGAGAGGAAAGGAGAGAGATAGTTAGAAACATCGATGAGAGAGAAACATCGACCAGCTGCCTCCTGCACACTCCCCACTTGGGATGTGCCCGCAACCAAGGTACATGCCCTTGACCGGAATCGAACCTGGGACCCCTGAGTCCGCCAGCCGACGCTCTATCTACTGAGCCAAACCGGTTTCGGCTGTAATATCTTTTTAAATTGTGGTAAAATACAGGTGTCACAAAATTTGCCATCTTAACCAATTTTAAATGTATACTTTAGTGTTAATCATACACATTGTGCAACCTATCTCCAGAAATGTTTTCATTTTGCAAAACTGAAACTCTGTACCCATTAAATAGAAATTCCCATCCCCTTTACCCAGCCTCTGGCAACCACCATTCTCCTGTCTGTATGAATTTGACTATTGTAGATATCTAATATAAGTATTGATTTTTGTGACTAGCATATTTCACTGAGCATAATGTTCTCAGGGTTCATCTAAGTTGAAGCATGTGTCAGAATTTCAATGCTAAATTGTATGTATAATACTACATTGTATGTATCCATTCATCCATCAATGGTACTTAGGTTGATTCTACCTTTTGGTTATTGTGAATAATGCTGCTATAGGTGTACAGATAACTTTTAGGACTCTGCTTTCAGTTCTTTGGGGTATGTACCCAGAAGTGCAATTGCTGGGTCATATGGTCATTCTATTTTTAGTATTTGGAGAAACCACCAAACTGTTTTCCGTAACAGCTGTATCATTTAAAATTCCCACTGAGTGTCCCAAGAGTTCCAGTTTCTCTTCACATCCTCCCCAACACTTTTTTGTGTGTTAGTGGTCATCCTAATGGGTGTGAGGTGGTATGGCATTAGTGGCTTTGATTTGCACTTCCCTAATGATTAGTGATGCTGAGAATCTTTTCATGTGTGTTGGCCATTTATATATCTTCATTGAAGAAATGTCTATTTTTTAATATATGTTTACTCTCATTCTTTCTGTAAGTTGCCTTTTCACTGTTGTGTCCTTTGCAGGTTTTTTGGTTTGTTTGTTTGTTTTCGTTAATCCTCACCCAAGGATATTTTTTCCATTGATCTTTAGAGTGGAAGGGAGGGACTAAGGAAGGGGAAGAAAGAAACATCGATGTAAGACACAGGAATTGTTTGCCTCCTGCATATGCCCTGACCAGTCTAGGATGAAACCTGCAACCCAGATATGTCCCCTTCACCAGGAATCGAACCTGTGACCCTCTGGTGCACGGGTTGACACTCTAACCACTTAGCAACACTGGCCAGGGCTCCTTTGCAGTTTTTAATTTGATGTAGTCCTTTTTCTCCCCTCATTGCCTGTGCTTTTAGTGTCATATCCAAGAAATCATTGCAAAATCCAACTTCCTGTTTTACAGTTTTAGCTATTAGAGAATTTTAATTGTAACATTCTAAACATTTTAAGAATTTCTTTTGTGACAGACTACGTCAGATTCCTCTTCACCTTATGCAGTACCCAGCCCGAGCCATAAAGGTTCTATTGGCAGGATTTAAACCTCCCTTAAAAGATTCAGGAAAGACAAGAATACCATATTGCCCCAAATGGAGCATGGAAGCTTTGTGGGCTATGATAGACTGTCTTCAAGGAAAACAACTTTATGCTTCTTCCATGGTAAATATCTGTCTTAATTTGCCAAAATCCTTTTCAAGCTATTTCTAGGGTCCCTATTAACTTTCTAAAGTGCTTTCTATCTGTTCAACTCTGGTTGCAAAAATGCTTTAATTAAGGTATATAAAGCTGTAAATACTATTGGATTAATTTTAAGACTTACTAAAATGTCTTAGTGATGTTATGACTAAGATAAAAGTGATCAAGTCTGTATAATCAAGGAACTGATGAGTCAATAAGGAAAACATGCAAACCACTAATTAATGAGGCAAAATGAAGTAAGTCCTATAAGATAAGCTAACTTTGGGGCGGGGGCAGTACAAGAAGCAGAAATAATGGGGATATGCTATTGAGCTCCTCCTTAGTAGGCACTCCAGTACTTACATTGAAAAAGTAGGTCAGGGAAGTGACATTCACACTGCATCCTAGCAGATGAGTAGGAAAGACCAGAGGGGGATTCTGATCAATCATAGAAAGGCTTGAATTTTACTAATATCATAACTATACTAATTTTGGATTATGTGATGCAGTAGAATCTATATCAAAATAAAAAACTTAAGGTGGTGGTTGGTGTAAATGTGCTTTCTTCTTTAGAGGTTAGCATGTCATAAAGGGCAGCCCACAGGCAGAATCCAGCCTGCACGCATGTTTTATATAGTGCTGTCTTAAAACTGGAAAATTTTATCCCCCTCCCCCAAAAAAGTCTATATTTCTGACTTCTAAGTATTATAAAGTAAAGGAACCCTAGCTCTCCCTTCCGAATGGCAGTCAGAGGTGCAGCAACAACCCTTTTAGATGGAAACATTCTCTTCAATTCATCCCAACCCTCACATTGTTGTTTCACCCAAACTTCTGATTTGGGATTCCTGATGTTTTGGTTGTGACAAGAATGAGGTTTTAATGAAACAGTGCTGTGAACTGGAAAGTGTTTTTTGAAGAAAAAAAAAACTGTATGTATCCAGCTCCTATCTGTGCAGAATGGTGTAAATAGCTTGTACAGTTTCTCTCAAGAAACCCCTGAAAGAAACAGGGCAAGTAAGTATTCTTAGAGATACGTATTTATTCACCTCTGTCAAAGTTTGGTCAGTTTCTACATAGAGGTATAATGCTTAATGTGTAGAATGTAAATAAATTTTAACAAGAGTAGTAGGGTTTTTTAAGCCTGTTGGCTCAATCTAGGAAAAGTTTGTGGAGGAGTTTCATTTTAAATAAAGTAGAAGGATGAAAAAAAATATGATTAGTAAGAAACCATTATATGCCTTTTAAAAGTACAGAGTATAAATCATAAATAAGCTTGAGAATGTCTTTTCCTCCCTGCCAGACGTAGGAGGGGAAAGGCAGCAAAGACATTATTGTGTTTTCTTGACAACTGCTTCTTAATTTTAGACTCGGGCACCAGAACAAATAGTGACACTGTATGAAGATGAACAGTATCCAGTTCATATGTCATTAGTAGAAATGGGGCTCGCAGAGCGAGATGAATGATGTAAGTGTGACTTGTTTACCTGTATAGTTGGCATAAAGTAGGTGACTAGTATAGACAAAATTAAGGCTAAGTTGCCCATAAAGGCACCTTTAGACTTTTCTTGATTTCTCAAAGGAATGGCAACAGAGCTCAGTAAGAGCTTTTGTCTTTATCCATTCACATAAAGTAACAAGTGATTCAGGAACTAGACTTGAACATTAACATTAAGCAAAGGTTTAAATAATACACATTTTGTTTTTCAGGTATACAGCCCAGGAGAAAGTTTTCTGTTGTATGTAGACCATTTCAGGCTTGTTTTTCTTTACTTGTTCTGCAATAATTCCCCCTACCATGTTGAATTGTTATTGTTTGGAAAATAGTTAATAAATATTTGCTTTCAAAAATTTTGTATTCCAATAATTTTGAAATATTTTAGACCCATGGGGAAAAGACATTTTAGTTCCGTTTATAATTAATGTATATTAGAAACGATATTATCAGTACAGTTGTAGGCACATGTAGTACCCCTTCCCCATTCTCTTCCCTGTAGAGGTGAACACTACTATGAATTGGGTGTTTATCATTCTTATATAGATCTTTATAATTTTTTACTGTCTATGAATGCATCCCTAAACAAAGTGTTACTCTGTATATTTTTAAATGTGTGCAGTGCCACACAATTACTGTTACTTTCCTATTTTATTTCCGTTGTTTATCCGTATTGGTATATTTTACTCACTTTATTATGTCCATCGTTGTACATAATTTATTCTGTTGCTAGATATTTTTAAGTTGTTACCAGTTTTTTCTCAGTAACAAGTATTCTTCTGTAGGAGCCCTTGTGTACATGTGGGTGGTTTTCTAGTGTATTAGTAGTACAAGGTCATGGATAATTGCTTTCCAAAAGGGGGTTTTACCAGTTTACTCCATCATGAGTTCTTTGCCAACACATGCTGTGGCCAGACAATTATTTGCAGTGTATAGTACAAGTATAAAAAGGTAGCCCATTATAGTCACTTGTTTATTTGTTCATATCCTTTGTCCATTTTTCTATTGAATTGTTTGTAATTATCTTACTGATTTGTAAGATTCTTTATACATTCTGTATATTGAATCCTTTGTCAAGTATATGTATCTTTTCTGAGTTTGTGGCTTATTACTATTTTTTGTGGCATTTAAAAAAATATTTGTATTGATTTGAGAAGGGAGAGGGAGCAAGAGATAGAAACATCAATGATGAGAATCATTGATTGGCTGCCTCCTGCATGCCCTGTACTGGGGATGTAGGCCACAACCCGGGCATGTGCTCTTATGGGAAATCAAACGGTGACCTCCTGGTTCATAGGTCAACGTTCAACCACAGACCCACACTGGCCAGGCTTTGGAATCTTTCTGTCACTTTTTTGTGGCTTTCTATGTCTTATTTAAAAATCCTTCTCCCCCTGGCCCATGTGCTCAGTGGTTAGAGCATTGGCCAGCACACCAAAGGGTCACGAGTTCAATTTCTGGGTTGCAGGTTTTATCCCCAGTCAGGGTGCATGTGGGAGCCAACCAATGTATGTGTCTCTCTCAAACTGATGTTTCCCTTTCTCCCCAGCCACTTCCACTCTCTCTAAAAAATCAATGGAAAAAATATCCTCACATGAAGGATTAACAAACAAAAACAAAACAATTCTTCTCTATCCTGAGGTAATATATCTTTTATTTTCTTTGAAAAGTTTTCACCTTCATATTAATTTCTTAAATCACCTGATATTAATACATTAAGCTTTAAAAAAAAAAGTCATTGCGGCCCTGGCCAAGTTGCTCAGTTGGTTGGAACGTCATCCCCATCGGTGCACCAGGCCTCTATCCTATATAGTAAAAGGGTAATATGCCTCCCAGCACCGGGATCAGCGGAGCCGCGAGGCCTCCCAGCACCAGGATCAGCGGAGCTGAGAGGCCTCCCGGCACCGGGATCAGTGTGACAGGGGGCAGCGCCCAAACCCCGATTGCCCTGCGGCTCTGTGTGTGACAGGGGGCAGGGCCACAACCTCCCTATCCACCCTGCTCTGTTCATGCCAGGGGAAGGCGCCCCAACCCCCTGATCAGCCCTGCTCTGTGCCTGATAGGGGGGAGCTCCCCATCCACCTGATCGCCCTGCTCTGTGTGTGACAAGCTGCCAGGCTCAGC